ACGGAGGATTGAGGAAATGCCATTCGACGGTACCGGGTTATTCCATCAGAAAACCGACTGCAAGTTAAAAGCGATACACGAATCGCGTATGACCGCACGCCGCATGGAGCTTCCTCAACAGAGGCGTAAGTGGCAAGGGCCTCGTTCCTCTTACCATCCACAATTCCACCCTCGGCAACACTACCAACAAAGACAGCAACGGCGAAGACAACAGCTGCAGCAACGTTTCCCCCAGGGCCGGCGGCGCTTCGACGCTGACAAATGTCCACATTGGTGGTCCAGGCGAACCATTCTCTCTCTCCCCACACCACCTTTCCCTCTCCCTTTTGGGGACTGGCTCCAGGGCCGACTCCCCATTTGGGAGTCCATTACATCTGATAGGTAGGTGTTGTCTATCATTCAGTTCAGATATAGGATAGAATTCGATGTTGTCCCTCCACCGTGTCCGACTCGATTTACATCTTCTTCATCGGTACTGTGCGAAGAAGTCTCTCAGTTGCTTCGCAAGGGCGCGATTCAACAGCTATCCCGCTCGGAGGGATTGCACAGATTCTATTCCAGATACTTCACGGTCCCGAAAAGAGACGGTGGTCTTCGTCCGATTTTGGACTTACGGAATCTTAACAAATACATCAAAAAAGTTTCAGATGACCACTTTACAGAGTATTTTTCTGTTACTGAAGAGAGAGGATCGGTTCGCCTCCTTAGATTTGAAGGATGCTTATTTTCATATTGCTATCCATCCTTCACATAGACGTTTCACTGTTGGGCTCGACTTGTTCGAATATGCTGTGCTACCCTTTGGCCTGGCCACCGCACCTCGAGTTTTTACGAAGTGTATGGCACCAGTATGTGCGCACTTACGGACAAGAGGAGTGCAAATATACCCATATTTAGACGACTGGCTAATTGTCTCCCAAACTAAACAAGGGCTTCTGTCTGCAATACACATGACCTGTGCCTTGCTCGATGATTTTGGACTATGTATTAACCACGAAAAATCGTCCCTTATTCCCACGCAGGTCATCGACTTTATCGGGGCACGTCTTGACTCCACACGGGAAAGAGCTTTCCTCCCTCCGGACCGTCGCGCTACCTTATGTGCCCACATCCATCGAATCTGAATGCTAGGAACGGTTCTGGCTATATCCATTCAGAGACTATTGGGGCACATGGCTGCTACAGTTGCCATTGTCTGTATGCCAGACTACGGATGCAGACCATGCAGCTGTTTTTCAACACGTCATTTTGCCCACAGCGAGATTCTCCCAACAAACTGATCCGAATTCCATCTGTGATACTCAACACTCTAATTTGGTGGACCATTCTGAGCAACCTGTCTGTCGGTGTCCCGTTCTGAACACCTCATCCAATGAAGACCCTGTATACAGACACGTCGCTACTGGGATGGGGTGCAACATGTGCGAACCTTCAGGTTCAGGGAACTTGGAACTGACGGGAAGCAAGGAAGCACATCAACGTCCTCGAAGTACAGGCGATTTTCAACTCCCTAAGGGCTTTCGAGACTGTCCTATGCCAACGAGTTGTCCAGATTGCATCGGACAACATGCCGGCTGTCTTCTACATCAACAGGGCAGCACAAAATCGCCACCTTTAGCACATCTCTCGATGGCCATTTGGGACTGGTGCATACCGAGGGACATTATGCTTCTAGCAGTCCACCTCGCAGGGACCGACAGCACCGAAGCAGACATGTTGAGCAAACATATGTCAACAACGCACGAATGGGAGATGGACAGACAAATATGCCACGACCTCTTCCATCTGTGGGGCTATCCGGACTTGGACTTGTTTGCCACTTGCGACAACAGTGTGTGCCCTATACTGTTCCAGGGCAGGCATAGGATTGGGATCGATGGGAGATGCCCTTATGATCCCCTGGGACAACATAGCCTTTTATGCGTTTCCCCCAATTCCACTACTAACGAAAGTGATAGCGAAGATATCTCAAGAGAATGCCACAGGAATAATAATAACTCCATGGTGGCCAAGACAACCATGGTTCGCCACCCTTCTTCGTCTATCCAAAGGGACGTTTCTTCGCCTCCCGTCTATTCCTCAGCTATTAACGCAGTAAAACGGAGCGATCCGACATCCGGATCTGACTGCCTTGAGGTTGACAGCATGGCGGATCACTTGAGTCATTCTGCTGCATCAGTACTGATGACATCTGAACCTCTACCGGAATGTATTCACTCCACTGTACCGACGGCCCCTAGGTCAGTTTCGACGACAACTGCTTCGCTACCGGTGACTGTTGACCAGGAAATTCAGGCGATTCTCACATCTGCTCTAAGACCGTACACTCGTCACTCTTATGCGTCTAAATGGAAGAGATTTTCCTCCTTTGCAGAACGCCATTCTTTTTCTCCTGGAATGGCCTCAATTGACAATATTTTACAATTTCTCTTGGAACTTTATCATTTGGGACTGAAACCGTCATCCATTAAAGTTTATGTAGCCGCTATTTCACACTATCGTGGTGCGCTTCAAGGGATTTCAGTTTTATCTCAACCTCTACTTTGACGTTTCCTTCGGGGGTTACAGAACCTACACCCTTCTATTCGCCTGCCTATGCCAACCTGGAGCCTTTCGGTCATACTCCAAGCACTTATCAAATCTCCGTTTGAGTCACTGGCGACTGGCGACCTACGCCTGGTGTCCTGGAAAACAGCTTTCCTCATAGCGGTGACATCAGCTTGGAGAGCAAGCAAACTTTCTGCTCTCCGCATAGACCCTCCATATCTTAATTTCCATAAGGAAAAGGTCGTTCTTCGTATGGATTCTTCCTTCCTTCCTAAAGTGGCTACACCATTCCACTTGAGTCAAGATATCGTTCTGCCAGCCTTCTTTCCAGCGCCGTCGAATCCAATAGAGCGGGCTCTATATACCCTTGATGTTCGCCACTGCCTGGCTTTCTATCACTCCCATACGGAATCCCTCTGTCGTACGAACAGACTCTTTGTTAAGTACTCCGAACATGACAAAGGACTTCCAGTCACACCTCAAAGGCTGTCGCACTGGATCACCCAGACTATTGTCCTGGCCTATCAACTATCAAAAATAGACTTACCTGTTACCCCCAGGGGTCACTCCACACGAGCTGTTGCAACTTCGTCCGCCTTTGCCGCTGGGGTCCCGCTCCAAGATATCTGTAAAGCTGCAACGTGGTCAGGGCCATGCACTTTCGCCAAGCACTATCGGCTTGATGTGTGCGCCAGGCAGGACTGCTCTTTCGGCAGAGCTGTTCTTTCGTCCGTTCTTCGCTGACGACACCTCCCTCCTCTGAGCTGGGTAAGCTTGCTAATCACCCATATGTGTGATGCACAGAGGCCACAACGAAGAAAGGCAGGTTGCTTACCTGTAACTGATGTTCTTCGAGTGGCCATCTGTGCAGTCACACAACCCACCCACCGGCCCCACTCGGTGTCCATCATTACATACTGCCTCGGTACCACGCTGTAATTTGCATCGGTACCGATGGTATATGCCGGTGAGTGGATATTGTTCTTGGTACCGTACTATACTTTGCATCGGTACTGTTGGGGCTCAATGCTGTTTGCAACTAATTTTATTCTTAACCTGTAGAGGGCGAACGTTCGGTCTTCAAGAATGAACAAAATGGCGGACACTCCGCTCTGTTTATACCACGAAGGGGGAGGGGAGCGGAGTTTTCCCGCCAAAAACTGTTAGCTTTTTAATCTTCCGGCCTAGGCACTGCGCAGGCGCAGTGCCCATATGTGTGACCACAGATGGCCACTCGAAGAACATCAGTTACAGGTAAGCAACCTGCCTTTCTCACACAGATTCCCCAGTTATTTTGTTGGATCTTTCCTCCACCTACTGTGCAGAACTCTTGGAGTCATAATTGCTCCTGTAAGCAGGGGAGGGGATGATGAGGGAAATGGACAGGAGAACCTGGGTCTGCTCTGGAACTCACAAGCCTGTCAGGGTCAGGTGGCTATCTGGCAGAGCACTGTGCCCCTGCTAGTATTGGCTAGCCGGTGCTGTGAGCACATGTGAGTGTTGAGTCTCTAAAGACCCTGTGTCCAGTCTGCCTCTAGCCATGAACTCTCTGGGTGGCCTTAGGCACTTGCTACCTCTCAGCCTTAGCCCACACCCCTGCATATCTGTAATATGTAATACTGACTGAGTCTTCCAGTGGTTTTCTGCACTGTAAATTGCTATATAAATACTGAGAATTATTAATACTCTGCTACTGCATGAAGACAGAATAAATCTTCTGATTTGCTGCAGTATTCATCCTTTTTTGGCAGAAACAACTGCACCCCCCGCTGCCTACCACATGGTGAAGACATAACCCCTCTCCTGTCTATCTCTAAATGCACCTTCTTGTTTTTCTTATGAAGCTGGTTCAGACCATTATTTTAAGGAAATCCTGCACCCTCCTTCAGTCATTCAGAGGTTTTTTTTCTTCCGAATGCAAGCAGGTGTATTTTTACCCTACTTCAGTCTCCTGCATTTTAGCCAAATCCTGCAAATGCACAGTTAACTATTAATCATACTTCAGATAACATGCATAATAACCACATGATTTGTATATCCAAACTTAAGAACCAGGTGATTAAGGCAGGCATTGCAGAAAGCATCAATGCTGCAATTTTGTGTGATGCCTGCATGGTTCATAAGCTCTGTAGTTGCTGGTCTTTACAACAGTAAGTTCTCACTCTACTAGAAATGTTAGTTCATTCTTAACAGCTCAGATTTGGAGACAGCTGCCTCTCTCATCTTGTCATGTACTTAGCTTGCACTATCATCATGCAGATATAGTAGCACACAGTCTGGCACGTAATCTTTCTCTCTGGAGCTGTGAATTGTGTAGATGAGTTTGTTTGCAATAAAGCATCAGTAATTTGGCAAACAAATTATTTTTGGAGCATAAAATATTGATTGTGGATTTGTTGGTAAGAAATAAGAGTATATCCCTCCATGAACAGAAGCACTTTCTTGTTTCTTAGGTGCGAAAAGTTGATGCTCCAAAAGATCAGATGGATAAAGAATGGGATGAATTTCAGAAAGCCATGCGACAAGTCAATACAGTAAGTTGATGCCTCCTAGGTGGAGTTGTTAGCAAAAGCTTCCAAGTGCATGATTTGTTTGGCAGGGTGATATCACATTTCCTTCAGTGACTTGATGGCCTTGCTTTATTAGTTACATTTATATTGTAAAGCAAGTGTCTTCTTTTTCTTCAAAGAGGAGAGATGTTTGTTTGTTATTTTACTCATAGTGTTTATTTCTTTGAGTTGAATTTAACATTCCTCTATGTGGTTTTATTTTTATTGGGTGATTTGCCTTGTCACATCTGCTGTTGGCTAGATCCATGGTTTGCCCATAGACTGCTTTTTAAAACAGTAATTCAGAGATGAACAGCCAAAAGCATCAGTTGGCCCCCAGCACTGGTATCGTAGAAAGTTTCCCATACATGAATGGTTGGGAGGACATTTGTTGCAGAGCAGCCATCTTATTCTGAAATGCATTCTGTGCTATAAACATGGCAGATTTTCATATAAGGTCAGTAGCAGATGCATTTTGTGAACATGCGTGATGCTCAAGAGGTCTTCTTGGTTACATGTTGACCACTGGGTGCATGGCATCTCCAAGACACTCAACTTTGAGAAAGTATATGCTGAAAGAAATAACAGGTTAAAAGATAATTTTGAAAATCAGAGCTAATGGTTAATACAGGTTAAGCAGAAACTCTAAACTCATCACAGCATTCATAGAGCTGAAGCACTGTAAAATCTTGTAGAATGTAAAGGTTTGGATTTGTTTGTTTCTAAATGTGCTGTCCTGGGTCAATGTAGGCACAACCTGGCTTTTCCCACTACAGTTAAGATAAGAGGAGCAAGTTGCTGGAGTATATACATCCTCCTTAGAAGTGAAAGCTCTCACCCTTCTGTATTATGGATGATTAAGACTAGCCAGAATTTGAACTTGCCTAAACCATCTCAGTGGAGAACCTGGTTAGTCTAAAGTGCAGCTTAACATTGGTGCTGCCATATCCCAGAATTGCAGTTAGGCTCCAGAAAGTGAAAGCTTCCAGGAGGGAACATAAGAATCCTGCAGCTGGCTCCTAATTTTCTAACTGAAAGAAAAAGAAACCCGTATCTTTTTATTGGCCCCTTTATGTTTGAGGGCACAGTCCAGTGGAGTTGTAGGCCCTTTTTCTGTCTAAAGGGATCCTGCCCTTAGAGAGTAAAAGTAGCTTCAGAATCCAACATTGTTCTGTCCCCTCTGCGCTTCCTAATTACTGCTTTTTCCTGAATTAGATTTCAGAAGCTATAGTGGCTGAAGAAGATGAAGAAGGGAGATTAGACCGTCAAATTGGAGAAATTGATGAACAAATGTAAGTTGACAGCTATCTGAGAATAGTACCTCCTCAAAAGGGCTATTATTTGACTTGGCAGTGGCATAACCCGATCAAAGACATGTATCATGTTTTTGATTTGGTTGATGTTGGTTTGTATGCTTTTTGTTTATCTGTTTTACATGTTTAAAGGATTAGTTGTGGGCAGAGTAATTATGGCAGGGTTTAAAATATGAGTATTTTAAAGATCATTATTTTATTTTTATGCCTGCCCCTACCATAAAATTCCAGGGGTGTAACCACAGAAGGTCATGCTACAAATTTAACATGAGTTAGCATGAGATATAATGATTCCCATAGATATGTTGAATATATCCAGGCAAATCTTTTGTATAGCGTGAGGTAAGTTTATATTTATTATCACTTCTTGGTAACAAATGTCCTCATTAAATACAAGCAGTTCTGCCCAGGAAGGACACGGTCTGAAATTGCTACATAGGAAGCAAATCTGCACAGTTTAGTGAGTTCTGCTATTCTGTGCCTGTTGTTCTTGGGGAAAGGACACAAGGCTATACAGGACATGGAAACCTCCATTTCTGACATGTTTGGCTTCTGAGATTTCAACAAGCACTATCCACACATTTTCTAGCATCTCTTTTCTATAATAAGGGCTAGAAACATGGGTAGTTTGGGGTCTTTTGAGGCAAAGAAGAGATTGTTAGAAAACTTGAGTTTTTATGACTCTGCAGCTTCTAGTCTTCCTTTTACATGCCATATATATTTTTAAAATCTATATAGATGCATGCATGCACACCTAGTGCCATAATTGTATGGAGTGAACTGATGGAATACATAGGTAGGTCTTCTTATCTCTCAAGGAATGTATGAGCTAGGTTGTATTTAATGTAAGCATACTGAAAAAAGAGGACTTTTTCTCATGACTATGTCCCAATCATTTCTTTTCTAAGTAGGAGTAAAATGGGCTGCAGCCCATTGTTCTACAGGATGTTTTAGACACTTGTCCATTCCAGACAATGGTTAGCTTTGAAATAGCAAGATAGAGTGAAAGGAAGGTGAGAACTGGCTTCTACGTTAATTTTTGAGCATAGCTTGTTCTCATATCTGACACTGACAAAACCCAATGAGATTGTAGACTAAACAGAAAGTATTTTGTTGTGCCAATGTGATAACGCTATGTTTAGGGTTACACTTTTCACTTAGTAATAACATCTTTAAAAATTCATCCCTTGCATCTGTCAGTGGTTTAAGCAGAATCACCAACCATTCCTCAACATGGTTTCTTCCAGATGTTGGGGACTTCAGGTCCCATGAGCTCCAGCCTGCATGGTCAATGAACCAAGAATAATAATTGCTGGGAATCGTAATCCAAAATACCTATTTTTGGAGGACCCAAGCAATGATGCATTGAGCTTCTCCACCACGTATACAGTGTGTGGAGGAACCAGGGAACTATCTTGTGTGGATGCTTTGCTGTTCAAAATTAGAGAGTTCCTCACTCATGAACCTTCCTCTAATGGTGACTCTTTCATTGCTTAAGTAGAAGCATGAATGTAAGCTGTTTTGGGATGAAGTTTTTGCAGTCTCTTCAGGCTTATTGCTGCTTAGAAAGTCCACTTTAACCTGTTGGTTCACCATAATCAAACAGCATCTAATATGGAGACCATACAAGAGGTTCACTTCCTTGGAATACAAGTTGGAGTTTTAGTCTTTTTAAAATGACTAAAATTATTCTCCTTAAAATCTGGTAGAAAATCTCAAGCAGTAAGCCAAAGCTTGTTTGGATGCCCTCTGGCTTCTACAACAGTTGGGAAATGAATTGCTTAAGCAGTTTTGTTCAGACGACGCAGCTTGGTCAAGAGAGTCCTAATATTTTTAGTATCCTTTATTTTTTCAGAGCTGGCAACTAGCTTTGACAGACACATTGGCATTTTTGTACTGTAACAGTTTTAAGAATCAATGTAGTAATATTTGTGGGTTCCTGTTCCTTCAGGGCTTCATATATTTGTGAATAGTCTTTTACTGATAAGCAAGTATGAAACTCTTTGCAAGTGCTATGTTCTGCTCAAAAATGCCAATCTGAGCAGTACTCTATTCATATAAGCATTCAGAGTAGAGTTAAGGCAAGGTTGTTCTGACTAATGAAAAATAGATCTGAGTCTATGTGGTTATTTTTTGAGGATAAACATTTCAGAGATCCAAAATATTGTGGAATACATGTTTTTCTAGTATTCTGTCACACTCCTCTAAAATCAGTAGTTTTCCTTCTGGAAAAGTGTGATGTTCCTTAGACACCTGTGTTAAGCTCTTCATTGAGAAGATCAGTTTTGGTGAACAAGTTTCCTTGAAAAAGAGGTCAGCCACATTTCCAGCAGTATACAGAGGAAAGAGAAGAGGGTGTTGGGTGTGTCCTGAGTATGCATTTCATTGATACTGATAGTGATGCCCAAAAGGCGAGTCCATGGGCTGAGTGTGGGCTGCATGGGCTGAGTGTGCACCCTAAAACATGCCCCAGCAGCCTGTCCTATGTTCCAGGCCTTCTGTGTCAGATGCACAGGAATTTACTGGAAGAAAGATCAATATGGAAAGTGATCCCTAGAATATCACTACCTAAAATAATTGTTTCCAGTGCAACTTCAGTTTTCAGGCTTTCCTTAAATGCTTTCTCTCCCAGTAGGCAAATAAAGCCATGTGATAAGTCTTAGGATGTAAGAGTGTGAGTTTGTATGTTTTAAAATCTTTCATTAAAATATGGGTACTCAAGTCCTTTTAACAATGGCATGGTTCCTCCAAAGGTGTAAAACAAGACACAAAATCGGTCTGTTGAAAGGCGATGTGGATTTTAGACATATTTTGAGCTTTTTACTTAGGAGCAAATCAATTAAGTGGAGGAAGAGAGCAAATAAATGATATTTATTTTGCCATAGTGAATGCTTCCGTCGTGTTGAACACCTGCGTGACCGCCAGGATACAATGAAAGACAAACTGAAGGAAGCCATGAGGCTAAGAGCCATACATGCAAAGGAGGACGAAGATATTGGTAGTGATGATGAAGGAGAATTGCAGGACTTGCTTTCACAGGATTGGCGGGCAAAAGGAACATTGTTGTAGCTGTCTGGAATGGGGAATTAACCTATTGATGAGTGTACCAATGTATGGTAACATACCACCTTGCACCCTTTTAGTCCTGCAGATGTCAGAATAAATTGTAAAATGTGTTCATAGCTTTAGGAATAGAAGCATATTGTACATTGTAAAGTTGTACATTGTAAAATCTTTTATAAAGTATGTTGTAGATTTCCTACTGAAGTCCACAGGAAATGTTTTCTTTGCCTTTTTTTCTGCACCAGCGTTTTGATACCATTCAAAGTGTGTGATTTCCTTGAGGACAGCTTAACATATAAACAAGTGTTAGCTGAACAGCTGGGGCCAAGCTGCAGTTTTGCAGGGTCTCAAAATGAAGGTTCGGAAACTGGAGAGTTGTTCAAGCTCCTCCATTAGACTTGCGCCAATTCCATACAATGTGACCTCTGTTTCTTAACGCAAATTCTTTTGAAATGCTCCTCAGTTACCATTTAATAGGGATATCTACTGTTTGAGGAAATGAAGTCTGCAGTCCCCTTGAATTTGTAAAACACATTATTTGCAGAGTAAGTCCTTATACAAGCCTTCCGCTCTTAAATATTTGAAGCAGTAGTTTTACTTAAGAGCTTTACTGATGCTTTTTGTTTTGTTCCTTTGTTCTCGCTGCACCTTTTTCACTGACCCGTTCCTATTTACAAAGTTATTGGAGCAGTTAATTTGTATAATCCATGGAATATATGTGGTCTATCTTGGATTTTCTTCGGATTGTTTAGAAGTTGGCTTAACCCAGGGTTGAATTCTGACCATTTGGTTTGGGAAAAGAGGTAAAATTACTTTTGCATAAATTTTGGCACTTAATTTGTATTTGTGTTCTAGAAGAAATCGATGATTTAATCTGAATACAGTTTTACTATAGTGTGGGTATTGCTCTCAGTGCTGAAATGCAAGATAGATTAATTTAAGGAAATTCACAGGGGAAAGTTTCCTGTTCCTTTTTTCCCCATCTGCAGCCAACTACACACTCAAAGTTTCCAGAGGCTTTGGATATTCTTCTGAGCAATGCAAAATGGAGTGCAGGGGAGAGGAGGGTAAAGGGACCTTTCCTTCTGTGAGCTACCTTAGGAATATGAGACTGCTATCGTAGCTACTCGAATCTTGCCACAGCCCTCCTGAGCGCTAGCTAGCTTCTGCATGCACAGTGGTCTGGTTCAGATAATATAACCACATTCACGGGTTGAAGATTGGTTGAGTGTGGATGGTACTTGAAATGTGGTTTATTGGGTTGTCTGAACCAAGTCAATATCCTATTTTTAAAAAGTGGTTTCTGTTTGTCTGTTACCTTTGCTGGGTACCAGACAGTGAAAATTCCCAAAGCTATCATGGAGTAGTAGGAAAGCAAACCTATTCATAGAGTTGCAGGAAATTTTAATTTTGTCCCCCAATAAGAACCTGGGCCTAATTGCAGTTATGTCAAACCTTTAATTGTTAATGCAAAATAAGCTGTAGTTCTGAACTCATTGGTGATTCACAAAAGTAGTATTTGGTCGCTATCTTAACATCTTAGTTACAAAATTAAAAATCACAACAGCTATATGTATCCACAAGGCTACAATGTAGTTTTTAAATTCAGGAACATTTTTATTTATAAAAATTCTTATTTAATTTATAAAGTGTATACAGAATATGGTTTAGAATGTCAGGAGTCCATGCTTTGTGCAAACTAGCCAGAGCATGAACAGCTACAATCATCATCATCATCATCCTTTGCTGTATCTTGTTAAGCTTCAAAATAATGAGACTAATAATGAACGCAACACAGGAGTTGGAAAGCACAGTTGCTTTAAAGAGTCAAAGTATTTATTTTGAGAATAATAAAGTTAGAAATGGCATTTCCGCTGTAGATTAGTCCATAGAAAGCATTGTTTCATGGGGTTTTGGAAAAGTCCTGTCAGGCAGCTCAAGCCCTAGAGTGGGTTGGGACAGATTACAGAGTCCCGAGGCCAGTTACTTCTGAAGATAGCCTGAAATGCAGGAACAAAAATCAGGGCAGAACAAAAACAAAAAAAAAAAAAAAGAGGTTGGGAGCAAATGACAAAAGAACTTCTCACCATTAAAGAACAACACTTGAGAGTACAACCAGTATAGAACAATATTTCAGTTCAAGCAAATTCTCATGTTTAATTGGGTTATAAAAACAGTTATATTAGTTCCAAACAGTTTTACAACATGTTGTAAGAGCTATTAAATACCCGAAGTACCGTGACAGTATTTCCAGTTTCCTCCTTCAGTATATACAAACAAGGATAGCATTTGGTTAAGTGCAAATTGTTTGTAATAATGGCAGTTCTACAGTTGGTTACAGTGACAAAATTTAGTGCAAAAGTACTAAGGAGAGAAAAAAGTCTACAGAGTACAGAAATGACACAAGATACGAAAAATAGTGCTTGGCCCTATACAATTAAACACACTATTAAATACTAGCTTTTAAAAAGTATTGCATTTGTATTCTGTTCAATTGCTCATTAAAGCTTTGTGTCCAAGGAGTGCAAAAGTGGATGAAAGTGACAAGACAGTCAAATGGGCTATTGAAGTTCAAAAGATAGTGAGATTAAAAAAAGTGCTGCAGTATGGAGCCAGTGTTAAAGCAATTTAAATTTTAAAAAGAAAAAAAGGTGAATGGACAAACAGAAAATGTATTTTTTGTTAAAAAATAAATGAATAAGAAGGTGGAAACAAAAACCAAACCAAAAAAAAAAAAAAAACATCCCAACAAGATACCCACCATCAAATAAACTAGTTCCAACAGCTAGCAGCCAGCTGCTATATCTCCCAACTTAATTATAAGTTGATCCATAGTTGTTTTTTTAAATCCTTTTTCATTTGTTCTGTCATAACAATAGCCTGAAACCAGGACATGAATATATAAACACAGATGACATGATTTAACTTCTTTGCCTGTTTTTCTTAAGAATGTGATTTGGTAGCAAATGCTTATTTAAGCAAGTAATTTCACTACCTGGAATGAAGGTGAGGTTTTTAGCATTGGTAC